AGTACAAAAATTTGGGTATTATATAAGATTTCTATACATATATGCACTGAAACCTTGAATAAATCCCTTAAATCATTATATTATATTATGGCATTTATTGAAATAGCTTGTTCGATGATTCATGTATATTACTGTATCAAATATTAATTAGGTATATATTTAGTATATAAAGTTGTAACAACAGTATTAAACATGTTTACAATATTAATAACTATATTTTAGTTTTTGTATCCTGTTAGTCAATAGTCCATCATGTTTCTGGTTGTACCACTAACATGGTTGATTCTATTTAGGTGGTTTGCAACACCGTGAAGTACGAAACCGATGCTTTTAAGATCTGAAAATCGTGATATCGTTTGAACGAGGTATTTTCGAAGTAACAGGAGATTATTTTGGAAGCAGTAGTTACAGATGCGTCACCTCCGAGAAACTTTGCAAATTTAGTACAATGAGTCCACCGGCTGTTAATTTAGGAGGGTTCAAACAACTTCTTATTGCCAGTACGAGCAATGATTGTACTTTTTTGTCGCTTTCATACCACTCTGCATTGTATCTGAAAACGATGGTAAATTTGAACGTCTATGCTTGGGACTAATTTTTGTTTAACTTGTAAATTCGTGGCACAGTCGTATTGAACTTATCATCAGAATTTAATTGCATCCTGGAATTATTCTTCACTCACATCGTGTCTGAGAATTCGTTTACTGAATCCACTACGCATTGTCCTTGCATCGACATGTAGAATATGTGCATTAGTTGGATCAAGAGGAAGGTACAATCCTTGAAAAATTCGGGGCTAACTTCCATGTTGGATATCTGTTTTCGCAAAATTAAAATTCGTGCAACGATTGTGACTCTTGTGGAACGATTTTGTAGACGGAAAATGCTTACCTTCACTAAAGTGACGCTGAAGGTCATCATCACGAAACCGATCAAAATGAAGAGGTATTCGACGTGGGCCTCTTGAATCGCATGCAAATATCTGTTTCGAAGCCATTAAAATGAGATCAACAAATCTCCGTTACTGAAGCGAATTAATATAATTATTGCGTACAATTACGCTGGTTGATAAATATCGCAATTTTTCAAACATTATCTTTACTTTATGTATATACTCTCTTTCTATAATTAATACAATAATATGGAGAATTGTGTCCGATAATTTGAAGGAAAAGATTTATTGTCATCCGGGCATAACACGTTGAGGAGGCCAAGATTTACGAAAATACTTTTACGCTCTTCATAAAAATGATAAAATGAAAACTATTCAGAATCATACATGAATTATAATACTGACGCTAAAGCATACTGGTGTCCTTGTATCGCGAAACGTATTTTTTTGTACTGGCGATCGTGGAGGTACTCCTTTTCGTAGAAGCTCTCCGGTTCTGCAACCGCCGCCTTGAAACGGTGTCTGCGAATTCGAATTCTCTGATCCATGTCCCATGCATTCACCAAAAANAAAGAACGCGAAACTTGTGTCGCACGCTACGTACACGTAGAACACCATCGCGATTACCAGTATCATATGTACGGTTATCGGTATGTAATACTTCTCTTCATCGATGGGGAAGTAAGCCGGGTAAACGTAGCCTAATTTGCGGGACTCGTTTTTCGGCATGAAGATGTCCAGGATGCGCGGTGTCAGCGGAGTT